TTAAAATCTAAGTTATTGGAACACCCTTTACTAGTATGATGGTCATCAAAATCGTTTCGGGAACTAATTTATTAATTTAGTGATTTCAATCCTTATTGGATGCCATACACACGTGACTTCGTGCCAGACTGAATTAAGCTTTTGTAAATAGCCACATTGAAACTAGAACCTGGGAAAAATTATGATCGACTTTAGAGACACGAATACACTATGTTTAAAACAATAATAATAATGCATTTTTAAAACTATATTATTTACATTTTTTATGTTTAATCATCATTCATTACTTAATATGATTTATAAGAAGAAGACCGATATCTTTTATCAAAGCTAAACCACCGTCTTTTCAGGATTTTCATGTGAGGGATACAAACGCCGATGACGTGAGCATGTTCATTTATCACGGCTACGACAGTCAACGATCATAACATTGTTTGGATAATGTACCGCGTGTAGAAATTCTGAAGTAGTTAAAATCAACGACCATAAATAAAAACATACTTGTCGATCGACAGCTTTGTAGGTTTACCACGTCACTGCAGAGTTGATCACCGACTGTCGCGACGCGCTTTCTTCAGTGAATTGGAGTCAGGCAAAAGGGCTGTTGGTTGACAAGTACAAGCGATCCAGGGACCACAACAGATCCATCGGGAAAACTTGTAATATATTTCCTAGTCAATTAGAAAACTTGGCTGGTGAGCGGGCCAGTTGGCGACGTCTATGCAAATTATAGAAGCAAATTTGTTTCCAGCAGACAGTAGAGCGCCATCGAAAACGTCACACGCTGAATCATTCGTATATTGTGATCAAAAGATTTTTTTAGATGCCCTACTTGCAGAAGAATAGGCCGTTTCCGATTTTGGTGTAATCCGTTACATAAGAATCCGTACACGATAAAAGGGAAACCGGTCGATTTCGTCTGAAAAAAATCGAACACGACGACGATTTTTATGCAATATTAAAGCCCGTTTTATATCCTTTTAAATGCTCTTCTAACGGGTCTAATCTAAATAAAATTGTACATTTCTATTTTAATATATCACCATAAACATAGTTGTATATTAATTTCAGAAAAATGCTGAAAAATCACTTACACGAAGATAATAAAAAAGGAATAATTTATTTGCAAGATTTTTTTTTATATTAGATCTGAGATATTTGCGATGGATAAAAAAAGTCAGTTTCTCACAAAAAAAAAAAAAATATATATAAAAAATAAATAAATAAAATAAAATGAACAATTATAAAAGGTAAATTAATCAAACTAGATCTGAAGTTGGAAACGTGATGCTGATAATCCCATAAAATTCTACAACACGAATGGTGCTTAGTTGCATAAACCGAAATCTATAGAAGTGAGAGAACCAACTCTACAAATAGGAACATTCATTGGCCTTTCAATGACCAACGGGACAATGCCCGCCGCTGAGACATAAACTGATGCAAACCAAGTTGTTTAAAGATTAGTTTTTATCACAGAAATCACCAAAAGAAGTTTGCTTTGAATGGAATCGGGGCTCATAATCCCCCCCCCCCAAAAAAAAACAACAACAAAAAAAACTAAAACAAAACAAGCGATCACGTGATCAATTCGACTAAAAGGATAAAAACTGGTACAATAGTCCAAAAATATAGAGTAACTATATGATATCCAACATTCTTTTAATGCTAGAATTCGCTCGGGTTACGGCCACATTATGACGAAACACCGGTTCACGCACAATAACAGGAGTTAAACAAAGTCGAGCCTTGTAAGTACCTAGACAGGTGATCGCTTGGGAATACCAAGTACTGTGCGGGTGGTGTAATGGATTATGGAAATCGGAATTGGAAATTGGAGAGCCGAGTTTCAATTCCAGTTACGTTCGCTATATTCATTTACGCGCAAATACAATTGGGAAAGATATAAATCCAACTCTTCACCTCCAGCTATGGGTTAATTAATAAGACTTGTATCACTAACTCCTTATTATCTCTCCCACCAAAAAATATAAATATCTTATAATCTAAAAATATTTTCTGGCTTTAAATAACCTTCAAAGAGTGATAAGCCGTAATAAACAAATCACTCAATCAATGGAATTTACCGAATAGAAGGATCGAAAGCCAGTCAACATTTTTGTTTTGTTAGATTAATAATCGAAAATATATTAGAAGGATAGACGAAGATTCTCACCTGATGTGAGCGTCGGTTTCATCGGGACAATTGTCACTGTGTGGGCTTGTATGTCTGTATGTTGGTTGTATTGAATTAAGGGAATTATGGGCAGTGAATTTTGTCTAGAAATATTGGCCAAGAATATACTGTAACACGTCCGAAATCATAATAGCCAGTGATGTTTTTTTTTAAACATGATAAAGATCTGAAATTTCCCACCAGATTGATCAGTATTTACAATGAATGCAATAACATTGAGGTACTGCGATGGATTGTCCAAACGTCGGACATCAACTTCATCGAGAATTTATGATAAAGGGTCGAAAGAAACATCACCCACGAACGATCTCTGCAATAATATGATGGAATATTGGGAAAAAATGCCATTAGCAATGAATGGTAAGAAATCAAATTTCATCGATACGCCGCAGATGTGATGCTTTATAGAAATATTGTTGCTAGTTTACTGGATATTAGTCATGATTCTTTCATTTATTCCTTATATTTGCGCAAACTTGTGTTATAATAAAAAAAGGGTTTTATTTAAACTATTTTACTGCCTTTCCTTTTACACTAATATTATTACGTCTAAATAATTCCTATTAAAATACATATCAGTTACAAGTGGAAAAATATGTGTATGATTTAGAGAATATCAATCACTCGTGTGCCATGCGCGATACACACTAAGGCAATCATGTATCTCTCGATACATGACTGACGAGGCATATTTTTCCGCCATCCAAGGCGATAGAACCCGGTCTGTCCTGCTATCTACCCATAGCTGGGAGGAGAAGAAGATTCATACCTTTCCCAAAAGGTATTAGCACGTAAGTGAATGTAATAGATTCGACTGGAAATCGAACTCGGCTCTCTGACTCCGCAATCCGTGCCGCTATCCATTACTCCACCGTGTCTCCTCTATGAGAGAATATACAAAGGCAATAAGACGGAAATCATTTCAATGATTTCAAACAATATAACCATGCCCTTAAATTAAGTGAAATCCCTTTATATATAGTATAAGGCAAATTAATCTACATTTTCCAGTGAGATCCGGAAATCATTTGAACACATCCTGCCAAAAATAAACTGGTATTTCGGGGAAAAGCGACGACTAAACTCAGTTGATAACAGGCAAACCAGTTTGAAGGCCACTATGGTATAAAATTTGCTATACATTTTCTGCTTACAAAAATTAATGCTCACAAAATGTATTGTGGGAAATGTATATTGATTTGTTTTTTATGGATTATCAACCCATTGCGAGTTATTTAAATCTGGAAAATTTTTGTTATTGTAAGAACCTTTTGGACAGTTGGTTATTCAATGTCAAAATCTAAATATTTATACATATTTATATTCTTTCAAAGTAAATATATGTTTGTAGATCATAAAATGTACTGTTGGTAATTTTACTATAAAAATGAATTTTCATATTTTTTATTGTTGAATTGATAGTCATTTTGCTGTAAAAATATATTGTTGGTCATTTTATTATAAAAATGTACTGTTGATTTTTTTTTTTTGAGGGTCACTATTTGCCCATAGCTGGGACCCTAAAACGTGCTACCACCTCGGGTCAGTTGAACCTGGGAACAACAGAAGTTAAGAGGTTGTTCTACGCTCCTCAAAATCTCCAATCTTCCGATCAGAGGCCTTACTGCTGGATGTAGTTTATCGTCATACCCAGGAAGAGATTTTTTTGGGAGATAGTATGATTTACTGATAAATATTCTACAATGACTCATAGCTGGGGAGACTATAATATTTCAATTCATAGCTTTGCCAAAAGTACTTGCGCATAAGTGTATATAACACCGATTTCCAATTGCGTTCCGTTATCCATTACACAACCCATCAAAGCATATAGCGCATAGTATTCTTAAGCGGTTACCCTTCTAGGTAATGATTGCTTAACTTCGGTGATTGTACGAGAATCGCTTTTTTCAACATGATATAGCCGGAAAAGGGCTAAAGGAAAACATTGAAAAGCTTAGGAGTTTTGTATGGTTTGTTTTACGGCATATCAAACTCAATGGGTTATTTAATGCCGACAAGATTTATTTTGCTGGTAATATTGTTTTTTTCAAAAATGTATTGCTGGTAATTTTTTAAAAATCTATAGCTGGTAATTGTTTTTTTTTTTACAAAAATGTATTGCTGGTATTAAAACCTATATTTACAATTTCATAGTGTTTTGACCCCAGGGGGTTACTATTTAGCCATAGCTGGTACCATAACAAGTGCTACCATCCTGGATCCCCAGCAATTAAGAGGTGGTTCCACACTCCTCAAAAAACTCCTGATCAGAGGTCATGCTGTTGGACGGAGTTTATCGTCTTACCCAGGATGCGGATTTAGTTTATCGTCATACCCAGGACGGCTTAGGAGTTTGTGTGAATGGATAGCAAAGCAGGAAAAGAAGTGACATTAAAAAGTCAAACGTTGTTAAGAACTATCAGAGATAGGATGTTGTGAAGAGCCATTATTGATCATGTCCTGAAGAAACACATCGCATAAATGATGAGGATGATGATTGGGAAAGAGCGCTCAATGAGATAGAGTGTTAATACAACACCAATAGTCTTCCTGGATCTTGTTCTTTCATTGTCCTTTCTTCTCACTAAAGTTTTCTCATTCTCTTTCACTCACAGTAACTTTGCGCCATGTTGGCATTATCGGCTTGCTTGGGTGAAATGATTAAAAAATACAGACAATTTGATCATAGAAATCAACACTGTTAAGTAACTGTCAGTTTCATTCCTCATGCGATGTTCAGACTACGTCAGTAGAAAAGTTAAAACGTGAAATTGATAGTCACTGTGAAATGCTGATCTCTATGCCACTATCTATCTATCTATCTATCTATCTATCTATCTATCTATCTATCTATCTATCTATCTATCTATCTATCTCATTCTGCCCACATCTATCTATCTATCTATCTATCTATCTATCTATCTATCTATCTATCTATCTATCTATCTATCTATCTATCTATATCAGTTTGTTCATATGTATGTACGTACATATCTTTATGTCTGAACCTCTTTATCTATTCCAGCTTCTTTTTATCAATCTTGATTACTGTTTCTTTCTTTCTTTCTTTCTTTCTTTCTTTCTTTCTTTCTTTCTTTCTATGCCGGTTTAATTCAGCAACTTTTATCTATCTTATTTCCTCGTTGGCTCTATGTATCTGTCTCTATGTCAGTCCTTCCCTTTGTCTCTCAGTGTATCTGTCACAGCCTCTCTATCTCTCTCTTCCACTATCTTACTCACTCTCTCTCCCCCCTCTCTCTCTCTATCAATATATATCAATTTATTCATATGTATGTATGTACATATCTCAACCGTATTATTTATTTCAGTTCCTTTTTACCTACCTTGATTTCTGTTCCTATCTATCTATCTGTTTGCGTTTATACATGTATAAGAGAGATGTTCGAAAAGTGATGTACAGAGGGGCATAAATTGACCGGAATTAAAACATGAAACCTATGAAAACAAAGCAATATCTTTACAAGAATCATGACACATTTAATATCAGCCCATATCCATGTGATACCCCAGAAAATATAACCTTCATTTCAGCTATTGGAACAGTATAGCTGATGAGGATAATCGAGAGCAAATGATAACGGATGCTGTTTCCTCGAAGACAATGACCCCGTTCGTTAGCCAGTGAAAAAATTGATGAAAACTGTTTTGTAAGATGCTCGTATATTTAACATCTTAAGCTTTGAGAGTTAATGTTGGTAGACACAGTGAAACATTGGACAGGAAATCTGTTAGTCGGAAGTGACGATGGCGTTTGCGTAGTGCCATCTTGTTACCAGACAGGTAGCAAACGTCAAAACGGTGACACCAACGATATATCATTAATTTCGACAGTTTTTGTTATGCATATCGACCGGCGCGTTTGAGAAATCATAGTAAAAAAAAGGGATGGAAACTGCGTCCCAATTTTGAAGGATAAACCCCCATTTGAACCGGCAGGCTTTCTCACTCGGCCACGAAAGGCGTCACAGCATTCGTAAAGATTTCCCGAATATGCAGGCCAATAGACGTAACAAACACTATTTAAAGTAAAAAATGGGACGTCTGTTTCAAATACGTATATCCACTAAACAATGACGTTTGAAGTAATATATATATATATATATATATATATATATGTGTGTGTGTGTGTGTGTGTGTGTGTAAATGCGTATATATATATATATATATATATATATATATATATATATATATATATATATATATATATATATATATATATAAATAAAAGAAAAGAGAGAAAAAATACATTTACGTGTATGTATGTTTGTGTGTACATGCATAAAAGTGATGTTCACTATATGTATAAGAACAGAAGAATAGACAAGAACAAATATATATATATCTGTGTGTGCGTGTTTGCGCGTGTATGAGAGATGTTCAATATATATATATATATCAAACAGCCCTCATACATGTACACGCGCAAACAAGCACGCACACACACACACAGACACACACACATATATATATATATACATACACTACTGTGCAGATTAACTCACGCACATACTTGCAATTAGTAATGCATAAGATCTTCATAAATAGCTCGTATTAGAAAGGCTTCCCATATTGTCTTCTTAATTTCAAGAAGAACACAAAAATCTAGAAAACTGTTAAATTAATGATTTAATTTTGTATTAAAATGAAATGAATATCAGCATATTAACAGAATCCTTCGGCGATTGACTTTGAGAAAACGAATAATCAAGATTTAAGAAAGAAAAAGATTATTAAAATGCTCGAAATCTTGACAGACTTGTCAAAGGATTTCAAATTAATCTATGTTCACCTACTTTCAGACTGTATTATTTTTTTTTTCATTTAGAGACATGCCCTTGTCAATTTTCAAAATATAATTTTCCAAGCTTATTTAAATTAAGATACCTTATGACGAAAAGACATAGAATAGCGTTGCGTTTGGAAAGATACGTAGAGAAAAAAGGATGACAAGTTATCGCCAAGAGGATAGACCTGGCTAATGAATCAGTTCTAAAACATTTGAATTCGCGAGGCAAAAATTAAAATAACTTTGATTTTTTTCCTACTTATACAAATTCTTCTGTTTTTCTTTGTATTCTTATTTTCGTAAACGTCTTTGTTTATATCTGTTTCAGGCTTATAATCATTGCCCGGGTTCTTTTAAAATTAATTATAAAATTTTGACGTCGCAAATTTTTAAGTAATTACTAGGCAAACGCGGTTATACGTCTTACGATAGGAAATTCTTATCGGCATATTTAAAACATTTTTAATTGGCTTTTACTTTTTTAAAGCTATTTATGATGCTTTTTATGGAAACCCTAAACACGTAAGTTCGAGCCTCGGTATGAGCACGTTTGAGTTCTCATTCTGTGAATCTAAAGTGATTCACTTTTTTAGTTGTGGATCTTGTTACCACAGCAATTCGAATAATCAATCCTGCAGTCTTCTTTAGCCATACTGATGGAAAATAAATTTTTAGCACCCTGAAGGGCGGTGTCAATTTGAGTTTTGGCAAAACTTGGTATGTGCAATGATAGCGGAGAGTAAATATTCTGATAAAACTTTAATTCTTCGGCTATCTGGTTAGACTAAAATTCATACATACATACATACATACATACATACATATATATATATATATATATATATATATATATATATATATATATATAAATATATATATATGATTTATTTTTTATTGATGTTTCGTTTTTTTTTGTAATTGTTGTGCATTTGATTTTGGTGATATTGGAATCTGAGCTAACCCAGTTAATACAATGATGTTGTTACCATGTTTCTGAGACGTTGAATAGCGGTTGCAAAAACGGTTTTGTAGACTCCCCACAATGTGCCTAGAATGTAACCTTGTACCATTGCAAATACGTTGCTTTTTTTTGATTGATTGATTCGTTTACAGGTTATTTAAAGCCAGAGAATATTTTTAGATTTTAAGAATTTATTTTGGAGATAATATTGCTTTAGTGATACAAATTTTACTAGTTAACCCATAGCCTGGGAGAGAAAAGGTGGATTTAAACCTTTGCCAATAGTATTTGCGCGTAAAAGTATAACGAATCTAACTAGAAATGGGAAACGGCTCTCCGATTAAGAATTCCGAGCCGTTATCAATCACACTATCCTTACAATCAAGCTTACAGCACCTGGTATATCCAAGCAGTCACCCATGTAGGTACTGATCAGTCTTGACGTTGCTTAACTATGCCTTGTAACATTATATCAAATTCTCAGTGCTTCCTCTTTTCAGTCAATTTGAAGTATTGACATCGATTGCAGATATGGTAGAGTGCTTTTCCCGGAGGTTCTCTTCAAACTTCACTCTCGACTCGGCTGCAGTACTTCTGTCAGATTTCACTCCTAGAACGGAAGCTTTACTAGGTGACATACGAGTAACACCGTCTCTGGTTTCTGCCATCCTCTCTTACATTAGACCCTTACAAAGCAAGCAGATGTGACAGCCATCTTGGAAGTTATCTATCAAGCTTTAGACAAGAATGGCAAAACTCAGGCTTGGGCTCTAGATATTTCAAAGGCGTTAGACAAGGTTTGCCTTCTATCCAAGATCGAGGGTTACGGTGTCAAGGGTCATATATTTCGCTTAATGCAAGCATTCCTTACCAATCGAGTAATGATGGTCGTATTGTACGGGCATACTTCCAGATCAGGACTCTATCATTGGACCTACGCTGTTTCTGATCTTCATCAATGATCTCCCTGATGTCACCAGTTCCCAACTAACTATTTATGCAGAGGACACCACCATTGACTCCTGGCTTAGTAGCAAATCCAACAGATCCGACAATGTAAACCTGAAAACTGTGCTTGAAAAAGGAGCTCCAATCAATGGTTAACTGGGGCAAGAATTGGTTTGTAAATTCCAAAGCCTCCTAAACAAAACTGCTTTCATTTAAACACCACAGAAAACCTTTTCTGCCTACCATCAGGAGAGCAAAACTCACTGCCTTTTTGACCTCATGTGTTTCACTGACACGAAGTGTATTGACTATATCGAGTTAACTGCTACGTCTGTTGCAATGAGGTTGGTTCACCATGCCGTGCCAAAAGGTTTTTCGCGTCAGAATCTATATTATAAATCTACCCTTCGTCCGTGTATCGAATACTGTTACCATATCTGGTCTGGTATTCCTACTGTGCATCTCGAGATTCTTGACGGGTCTGCAATATAATTGATCCTAACCGAGCATCTCGTCTCTAGTAACTTTCTCACAGACATGACGTAGCTCCCTACCCATTTGTTCTACAAATATTTTCTCGGATGAGCTTTTTTCCCAGGTCCCCCGCTATACGAATTGAAGCGTGCTAGTAGATTGGCAACTAGGTCCCACTGTTTTACTGCTGAACTAGCAAGATGTCACTTCCACTTTAAACTCATTTCCTCATCTAATTAAATGATATAAAACATATATCAGTAATGTGTCCTAGTCAACATGCAAATCAAATTTAATTTAAACAACAATAATTAAAAATAGTTATAAGGATAATATTGACAATAATGCTATTGACATACATTACCAAAATCAAATGCACAACAATTACAAAAAAAAAAAACGAAACGTCTATAAAAAATATCTCTCTCTCTCTGTATGTATATATATATATATATATATATATATATATATATATATATATATATATATATATATACCCAAGTTTATTTTGCATTCAACATCATCACTTGATAAGACACCAGGGGTGTAGAAACAAAATGGCTATTTTTGTAGTAATTTTATAACATATTTATGCTATAAATTAAAAAAAAATATATATATATATATATATATATAAACTAAAAAATAGAAATGCAGCAACTTCATTATTTACGATAAAAATGAAAGTCTTGCGACTTAGTAACTAAAGATAATATATCCCAAACATCAAAACCCTATCTAAGATCAATGTTGTATATGAATACACTTACCCACTCAGAGAATGATTCTTTGTAAATAAAAAAAAAAAGAAAAAAACTTTTTATATAGGATATACTACAACCGCACTCTCACGGAGATTCACCTGCCACCCATCGAATCAGTGACACCAGATGTCACATTAATAATCAGCATATGGACCATAGTAAAATTAGATAGCTATTCGCTAACAATACAAAAATACTAGTAAAATCAAATAGTAAAAACACTTATGATCCTTGAAGCAATACTCACACAACAAAAACAACCATCAATAAATAGAAACATTTATAACTTAAGAAATCGCACACTCAAATGTATATAAAGACACAACCACACTTATGTGCCTACAGATCACCCACCTGTTCTACGAAGTTCACTATTTATCTCTATTTACCCTGATGATGACTTAAGAAAGCTGAAAGTTTGGACAATATTTCTGACGAAATTTCCTCTTTGCTGAG